AAATGATGCTAATGGGGAGTTGCCTCAAGAAATGGAATTTTGGCAACGAGGGCTTTAGCCTGGGACACTGCACATTTTCAGGAATGGAAGTCACACCATTGCATGCTCTGACTCAAACTTCAGGAAAATGACTGTGTTCATCAAGGAATTGGATGGGGGCCGGCACAGTAGCCTAGCAGCTAAAAGTCCTTGCCTTTTACACACCAAGACCCTGACTTGAGCTGGGTGTGGAAAGGAGCAATAAAGAGCAAACAAGAAGGAACCCAGGTTTTTCTACCATGTTCAACTCTGGGGCAAAGCCAATGGGTCAGAAAATGGACAATTGAGTGGAGATATGTGGCAAGACATTATAAGTGTCTTCACAATTTACTTAATATTCTACATAGCCTTGCATGGGGGAGGTGTTACACAGATTTTCAATGTAGATAATATGCATCCACTCATGTGGCAACCAGCTACTTCCTGAGTTTTCTTATTTCTCCCAATATTCATCGTCTCCATAAAATTACCCTTACTGGATATGCCTACTTTGTATTTCAAATTCCTTGTGGTAGTGCTTAAGCATCTCTAGGAATCGAAAAGAGCATAGGCAGGAATATGCACAGAACGTCCATTAACAATACACATTTTATCTATAGGTTAGCGACGGGTATTCAGTCTGGCAGTTAGGTGCTATTTAAGATGCTTGGCCTCAATTTGCAGTATTTAACTTTCAAGCTCAACTCTGCATCCTGATTCCAAATCGCTGCTGGTGGTTAGCCCAAGAGGCAATAGTGATGGCATAAGCATTCATGTTCCTGCCCTCTAGGAGGAAGGCTGCATTGAGCTCTCAGTTCCTGGCTTTCATCCAGCCCAGGCCCAGTTGTTATTGAGGTGTGTGTCGAATATATATATTTTTAAAAGAGAAGTTTATATTCAACTATTAAGAATGGGTAAACTGAAAGCTTTGGAATCATTTGTTTCAATTTCCATTTAAGATAATTCATAGATGATAATACAGCATGGACTCATTCTTGGCCAAGATTTATCTCTGAAAGTGACCGAAAAATAAAGAGCTTTGGCGCCAGCATAGTGGAATATCAGAATAACCCTCCAGCTGCCACCCCACATGGTGCTGGCTTGTGTCCCTGCTGTTCTGCTTCTGATCTAAATCTCCGCTACTGGCCTGGGAAAACAATGGAGGATGGCCTAAGACCTTGGGCCCCTGCATCCATATGGGACATCACAAAGAAGCTCCTGGATTTTTTCCACAGATAGGCTCAGCTCTGGCCGTTGTAGCCATTTGAGGAGTGAGCCAGAGGATGGAAGATCTGTCTCTCTCTTAACAAAATCTGCCTTTCAAATGATCAAAGGAATAAATCCTTAAAAAAATAAAAACAGAAATGTTCACACAGATGTCCTTTTGAAATGCTAGGACTCTTCTGTGTGCCGACTCTGCTTTACCCTTTGGTGTTTCCCATATCATAAGAAAGAAGTTGTGATTAAAAAAGAAACAAATAAAAAGCAATGAGTCCATATTGCATAGTAAGCAAGCTTTAATAAATATTTATGGGGCCTGGCACGATGGTATAATGGTTAAAGTCCTCGCCTTGCACATGCCAGGATCCCATATGGGCGCCGCTTCTAATCCCACAGCCCTGCTTCCCATCCAGTTCCCTGCTTGTAACCTGGGAAACCAATTGAGGACAGCCCAAAGCCTTGGGACCCTGCACCCACTGGGGGACCCGGAAGAGCTCCTGGCTCCCAGCTTCGAATCAGTGCAGTACCAGCTGTTGTGGTCACTTGAGGAGTGAACCATCTGATGGAAGATCTTCCTCTCTGTCTCTCCTCCTCTCTGTATATTTATTGTTTGTGCTAATTTACTCTTTATATAAAGTCAATCTTGAATTTTGAGGAAAAGAATAAATGTTTAACTTCCATCTTTACTTGGTTTTCAATTACTAATACAAATACATATAATAGAAGCTTGTGGTAAGCTATGAGAAAACATTCCCATGGACATGAATGCCAGATGTGCTGTTATCTACAACAGAATAACTCACTTCCTCCTTGCAACTACCTTCCCCAATAGATATCCCAAAGAGAAATCATGCATGGGGCCTTGGCTTTTCCATTCCAGATGTCCAACATAGTGGCCTTATCCACAGGAGACAGAGAAAGAAGAGGACAACACAGCAGCTTTCAGATCTAAAAATCCCTAAACTCTTCTATGAAAGTAGTAACATGACCCCAATGTATGCCGAAGCTATGGCTAATATAATACAAAGCATTGCTAAATTCCCATGTAGTCATCTGTTATTATCTCTTTTATTAATTTATATGATAATAAAAATACAACTCCATAAATAGAAAAAGACTTTTAAATATTCCAACATTTAGAAGAGTTCCCCAAAATTGGGAAAAGGCTGTGCAGCTTTGCCTTCAACCTTCCCTTTGTTTCTGTGTTCCCTTTGTGCTTTAAAGTTGTAGAGTCACATCCATACACAGCACTGGTTCATTTCAAGACTTACCACAGGGTAATTGGGGTGGGAGTGGAGGCAGTTATTTCCAGAGTATATAATCTAAGAACTGTGTACTATAGTTTTATCAATGTGGACATGAGAGAAGTGTGCACAATAGATCTTTTTTTTACAAAAGCTATTGGGCCTGTTTCAAAAACAGTTTAATCATTATTGCTACGTTTAATGGAACTCATTAAAATGGCTGTCATACCTCCATCTAGATGGTTCCACTATAATCTAATTGTAATTAACTTGACCATAGCTTTTCACAATACTGATATATAAACTGTACTGCAACCTTATTCTAACCTTGACTGTTTGGGCACAGAATTTTGAGATTTAAAAGTTCTCTTCTCCCCTTTGTAAGATTGCTATAGGAGTTCTAAGCAAGTTGCAAAGCTAAAACATAGGGTTGGATCTGTGTCATAATGTTAAAACACTTCCTGCAGCTTTGGGAACATGTTTTGTCTACTCCACTTGCAATCCAGCTCCCTGTTCATACATGATAAAGCAGTAGAAAATGTCCCGGTACTTGTACCTCTGCATCCATGAGGGAGACCCGGATGAGGCTCCTGGCACCTGGCTTTGGTTAGTCCATCCCTGGCTCTATCAACCATTTGGAGAATGAGCCACTGGATGAAAGATAGGATCAATTCTCTTTCTACCTCTAGCTCTGCATCTCCATCTCAGTAATTCTGACTTTCAAATAAATAAACGTATCTGAATTAAAAAAAATCAAGTAACTCTAGTTTGTGTCAATTAATCTTTTGTTAACAATCTTCAATGTTTTTATGTTTCAAGAGGATTTCAAATGCCCGTGACACCACAGCATACAGGGCTATGACATGAACAATGCATACACTGATATTTTTATATTTTATGTGTAGAAATTCAAACATCTCATAATATATTCATGAAACTATCAGGCATTGGAGATCCCTTGGAGATAATGACAATTGTTTAAAAACAGAAATGCCCAAGTCTTGTAATTCAATGTGCAATATAATTTGCGTATTACTATGAACACTATGAGACCTGCCCAGGAATTACACATACCAGCCAACCCATGGTGTGTCACCTAGTAGAACCATAAAGTATAGGGCCATGAAGCTGGTATAGAAACACTGAAAAAAAAACGCTATTCATGCTAAGTGACTTTCCTGGAAATTAGCACCAGGAGACTGAGCCCACAGCTTCTACAAGAGCAGCTGACACTAGTGGCTTGCTCTCTGTTTTCCTTTTCATTAGGATTCTTATTTCTACACTGCTATAGCACTCTGTTTCTCAGTGTCTGGCTGATTATTTTATCATTGTGTCTACAAATACACACACACACACACACACACACAATAGTAGATTCAGTCTTGCCTTATTCTTGTGCCCTTCAAAGATCTGCTCAGTATCAGCCTCTCCTTCTCCACTCATCTTACAATTGGGTTTTTTGCAAATTTGTGTCATGAACGTCATGATGGTTTCTTACAGGATTTTTTCAAAGACAAAAATGAATGACAACATATGAATTGAGACACATGGAGCTTGATGCAATGAATACATCTTTCATTTGACCCTAGAACATCTTCAATACCTGAACCCATACAAAGCATCTGTCTCATTAGCTTCTCTAAAGCTCTCTGAGAACTTGATCTTCATGAGTTCCCAAGAACCAAAATAGCATTGTGCATCCAAAGTTCAAGACAGTCAATATAATAAATATGAGTGTTTGTGGCAAATTCTGGGAAAGAACTCAAATTTCAAACAGAAAAATCAGGATGCATTCTTTGGAAAGCTTAAAAAAATCAGTCGTATGTCATTTTTATCTAATTTCAGAAAGAAAAATACTATCTAACCTTCTGGGTTATTTCTGAAATATATGAAACTGACTTATAGGTAACATTTTAAGATACAATGTCTGTCTAAACAAATGGCAGATTGAATTTCTCATTCTGTCCTAGGAATTTATCTATTTCTTTCTTTATCCTTTCTCTAATCCTCATCCCTGGGTTATGTCCCAGTATAAAAATAACTCAGGGTAGGTTTGACAGGTCTAGGGAAGAGTTGCTGAGGACTAAGAGAAAAGGGGATGGAAGTTCTGTCTTGCACAAGCCTTGTCTTAGCGTTTATTCTTTGTTTCTCCTTGGAATTCAGAGAGAATGCCAGTTCTAGCTTTCCTTACAAAGCCTGACTCTGTTCTCTCCTAGGTAAAGATGAATCACAGGGCAATCTTAGGCCACATACCCACTGCCATCCCCTATCCACGTGTCTACGTACAGAGCTGAATATGATGATGGGGATTAGAGCACAGATTATCCCCTGAGAACAAACAAGAAGCACTGGAGTTAAAGCTGTTTTGTTTTGTTTTTCGTTTTTTATCCTCCATTTCTTTCTCTCAAAAATTAAAAAAAAAAAAAAAGCCTTGCTATGGAGTAACTTAAGACACAGGAGGTAAAGGCCTGAGTTCCTGTGTTGCCTGCGTTCTTTTGTCACAATTTGCAGGGGGAGAATATGAGTTCTGGCTGAGAGGAGAAGGCTATTAGAGGTTGCAAAGAAAACCAAGAGTCAGAAGAGAAGAGAAAAGCCAGGTGAGAGGCAAGCCCAGAATGGAGCAGGGGCCCTCGGGCTTGTGCTGCACTCGGTTACACTAAATGCCATCTTCACTTTGCAGAGCTGCAGGAGCCTTCAGTTCAACTTCCCACTAGTTACACAGATAACATGATAGGAAGCAGTCTACCCAGGAGATGCGTGTGCATCAGCAGGTAATGTATTCACAATAACTTTAAAATTTGAAACACATGTCCTATAAATAGCATTCAGATGGTGCTAGGTCATAAAACACTTTGGTGAGAAGGCGTTATACTTTGATGAGATATTGTTCTGAAAATATTAACCAAAGCATTTTCATTTCTAGGATTTTCTTCTCTCCTGTGCCTTTATTCTAGGAGTTTATTTGCCTCAGGCCAGGGATATACAGGGAAAACAAGGAAACAACCACCACCAAAAAACAGATTCAAAAACCTTCAAAGGAGGATAACCATCACAATTAGGCAAGAGACTTAGTGAAAAATCATTGTGATTTAGAGATAGGTTGAATTCTGACTTCATCAATGGGAAATAGAGCAGAGCAGATGAAAGAGATATGAAGACAGAGAAGACAAAAGAGGTTGCATGGGGGCCCGGCGTGGCAGCCTAGTGGGTAGTCTTTGCCTTGCATGCGCTGGGATCCCATATGGGTGCCAGTTCTAATCCTGGCAGTCCTGGTTTCCATCCAGCTCCCTGCTTGTTGCTTGGGAAATCAGTGGAGGACAGCCCCAAACCTTGGGTCCCTGCACCCGCATGGGAGACCCGGAAGAGGCTCTAGGCTCCTGGCTTTGGATCGGTACAGCTGCGGCCATTGTGGCGACTTGGGGAGTGAATCAGCATATGGAAGATCTTCCTCTCTGTCTCACCTCCTCTTTGTATACCTGACTTTCCAATAAAAGTAAGTAAATCTTTTTAAAAAGGGAGAGTTTGTGGCAGAGACACAGAGGATTCAGATAGTCGTTACCATGAGATCAGTAACCCTTATTTGGTCTGAGTCCATAATTCCCATTCAAAGCCGACTAAGAGCTGAGGTCACTCACAGTCCAGCCTGCATCCCAACAAGCAATGCACACTGTGTGCTCCCACGGGCTCCCCTGCACTCTCCCTCTGAAGCTCAGTGAAGGCCTTACATGGACAGCACCCTACCCTCTGCCCATCCAGGGGAAACACTGACCGATTCCAGAAAACTGAAAAAATGCAAGACAGATAGGAATACATAGTTTAACACAAACGTCATTTTATTTCAGGTAACTTTGCGGGTAAAATCAGATATTATGATTATGCAAAGATATGTTCTCTTTTACTCAAAGTTTTCTTACTTCATTCTAAGTGACCAAAGCATCTAGGAGAATTGTGTACTCAAATTTGAATGGGGCAGTGGCAGTGTACAGAACGGAGGGTTTGATTAGAGAAGACATGGATTTTTCATTTTATTAAAAACCCATTTTGGCCAGTTATGCTTATGAAATCCAGAAGACAATGGCTAGCCAATGCATGTTAACTATGATATCCGTATCTCCTAAGGGAAGAACAACCATTCTGGAATGAGATCCCAAGTCTGTATAATATCTCCTTTTGTGCTTTTACTTTTAATTTAGTTTTCTTCCAGCTTCCACAATCTATTTTGAAAACAGGCATTAACAGCACAAACTTGTCCTTAATTGGAGTCTGGTTGTCATGAACATCAATCACACTATACTTTGCTTCTAGTTTCTTTGGAAGCCTAGTAAGCACATTTCTCACTCTATTAATAATGATCTCATTTGAAATAAGTTCTTGAAAGGCAGTAAGTATTTTCAAACCAAAATACAGCATACTAGGTCCGGCACAGTAGCTTAGTGGCTAAAGTCCTTGCCTTGCACTTGCCCCAATCCCATATGGGTGCTAATTCTAATCCTGGCACCCCGCTTCCCATCCAGCTCCCTGCTTGTGGCCTGGGACAGCAGTTGAGGATGGCCCAAAACGTTGGGACCCTGCATCCTGAGGGAGACCTGGAAGAAGCTCCTGGCTCTGTCTTCAGATATGTATAGCTCCAGCCGTTGAGGAAGATCTTCCTCTCTGTCTCTTCTCCTCTCTGTGTATCTGACTTTCCACTAAAAATGTTAGAAAAAAATTAAATAATATGTCATACTTTAAGACTTTTGAAGCAGTCATATGAATATTAGAACTGACATGATGAATTAGATGCAGTACTAGAAGGCAAACAGAAGCAAGGCACCTACACCCACAGAGGAAAGCTGGATTTTACAAGGATGCTTGCAGGGAAGAGAGTGGCCAGAAGATTGACAGCTCATCACCTGTATGTAACTTTTAGGATACCAGGCAGCAGTATCTTGGCAAGCAGGGAAAGCACAGAAATGGAGAACACATTTAAGCAGGCAAATATCTGACAGCAGAAAGTGACATGGAGTTGACATGGTAGCATCTCTTAGAAAAACACAATGGCAAGAGGCACCAAGTCCAGGCAAATATCAAGCAGCCAGGAGATCCTTGCAAGTTGCTGTAACAGACAGATGTGTGTGATCAAAGAAAGGGCTCACTCCCATAGAATATACAGCATTGTAAAAGTACTGGTAAAGCAGCCAGAATGGGTGTCCAGTGCCTGCCACATGGAAAATGCCCTGAAAGATACAGTTTATTTCCTAACTTATCCTCCAAAATTCTTTTCAAAGAGTTGAGTCCTTGAGAGTAGCTAACCAACATGGCAGATATATTTAATAACCAAGATGGGGACAGCAGACAAGCAGTATGATAGAAACAGTGGTCCAGTGGCTGCTGATCTTGACATAGGACAATAAAAGGATGTCAGTAAAAGTAGATTATTTGCAACAATTCTCCAGGATAATTGTCTGCAAGTGCAAATGTCAATAAACAGATTGTTAATGCAATAAACCGCATTTTATGGTGACTTGTAAAGCTATTCAAAGGTCTTTGAAAAAAAAAAAGCTTTTGTGTGTTAGTTTTGGAGGCAGAATGAAACTTAACTCACAAAATGTTGAAGTCTTAACACTTGGTGTATATAAATCAATTACGAAATTCAGGAAGAATTCCTAAAGGGAAATTTAAAGAGAAATTTTCCATTACATTTGAAACACACTGGACTGGGTCGGTGGAACATCCTCGATGTAGTATGGTGCTCATATTCTGAGGTCCCAGAAGGCTGGATATCAGGCCAGACTCATTGGCCACAGGCAGTAGAGAGGACAAAGAGAAGAGCTAGTAAAGGTAGCTGTGAAAAAACTCCACCTTCAGATGATTCTACAATCACACTTTTGCCAAGGTGTGAAGATTTTAACTTTGATTTTGATTTTTTTTCCCTCTACTGAGTACCTCAAGAATTGAAAATGTTTGTGTTTTTTTTTTGTCTTGGGATTCATAATCAGAGAAAAATCATGAATTGGCTCAAATTACAATGTGTTATTTACGACTTAGAAGTCCCATGGCATGTGTACATTCTCTTTGACCTCTTCTGCTACGACAGATCTCACCACCATCGGCAAGCCATGAGAAAAATGTTAGGATTTGTTATTGCTGCTTATCAAAGTTTGCTTTACCTGCTATTTTATAACACATTTTGTGAATAAAAATCCTTTTATTTCTTCTATCTTAAAATGAATACAAGAAGAGATTTCTGTTATACAGTAACCCTGGAGAAAATGCAGAGATGACCCAGGATAAAGTGGCAGGAAGAGTATACCAGAAAACAATTCCAACTAAAAAATGTCAGAATCTGATAGGATGACCCGTCCATTGGTGTCTCTTTTTGGAAGTTTTTCTTTACTCCACCTGCTAAATTTAAGCAATATGTATACACTTGTCCTGTACAAGGAGGCTAGCCCATTCACACAAACTTGACTTATGTCTCAACAAGATTAAAGTAAGCTCCTTAAGATCAATAATGCTGACATGTGTTTTTTTAAAGTCCCACAACTCCTGGCATAATTATAAATACAAGTATGAATGCAAAATTGGCTTCCTAATATTAATTTATTGTTCAGCTGATCTCATACATAAACATATTAGAGTCTAGAAATGGAAGAGAGGGCTATAAACTTCTTTAAACACTTGGGACCTGAAAAGTTCATGCCTACCATGGTAGGCAGTTTGGTCACAAAAATGCAGATAAGAGTAAGGCATAAATTCTTTCAGCTACCACCCTTACAAGGTGAGAAACCAGAAGGGAAGAACCAGAGCTGAACTGTTATTTTTCTCCCAGGGAAGTAAGAGATTTTCAAAAGCTGGACCCTGAAGTCAGATGATGAGGACAGGAAGTAGTGAACCAACATCACAAAACCACAATAGGGCCAGGGCGGGCTTGAGTAAGACTGGAGCAAGGCACACTAATGGGAATTGTGCTAAGCCAGAGCACCAAAGCTGAATAACAAGCAATAAGAATAGAGCCAAAAGTAAATAGGGAATAAACAGTGTCATATGGCAGAATAAAGTAACGATTTTTGTGACATCCTAACTAGGAATACAAATTACTGGGTACTAAGATGTTTTAAAAGACAGTATGTTTACCTTATTTTTTAAGGTGGTCATAGTTTCCTATGGACTAGTCAATCTCCAGTGGTTTTTGACATTTACCTGACACATCTGCAGTCAAGTAAGGAAAATACTGTGACCGTTTCCGGATCCCTACTTCTCGGGTACCTATTTTCACTCTATGTCTGTCCATCCTCTCACAAAGCATTCTGTCTGGAGGACCATCTGCCCAGCAGCTCTGTGGCCACTCCAATGTTTCCACTTACTGCTTAGCTATGGGACAGTCTGGGAAGCCAGCTTCCTAGACTGGAAGCTTTCTTCATCTCCTAGATCAAAGATGTGTGAGTTCTGCATACACTTCACATCGTGACTCCCAAATGGTTAGACCCCATTTGTTCCTTCGTAATGGAGCATTGCCTGGGAAACCACAACAGACCTTCCAAAATTCTAAATTAAAACAAACAAACAAAAAAAAAAAAACCATTAGGGGCAGCTTGCAGCATAGTGTCTGCTATATCGACATCTCATATGAGTGCCAGTTCATGTCCCAGCTGCTCCAACTCTGATCCAGCTCACTGCTCATGTCCTATGAAAGCAACAGAAGATGGCTCAAGTGCTTGGGCCCCTGTATCCATGTGGGAGGCCCAGATAAAGTTCCTGTATTCTGGCTTTGGCCCTACCCTGGCCATGTGGCCATCTAGGGAATTCACTATAGGTTGGATGAGTCTTTCTCTCTCTGACTCTCCAAATCACCCTTAAATAAATTAAACTTTGAAAGTCCACAAATAAATTTTAAATAGAGGAATTCATTTTTTTTTGGAGGGGAGGGCTTTATGTAAGTTGGAATACTAATATTTGGAGACTCCAAATGTGTGGAAGAATCTCATCTTCAAGAAAAAGTGAAGGGCAAATTTGGATGCCCCTTGGCCCATTTAGCTGAAAGAAATGCCCTGTTCTCTTTTGTCGCATGCTCAAGGTCATGCACCAGATTTTAAAAATAAACACAAGCAGGCCACTCCACCGTGGAAGTTCACATTGGACATTCCTTGAAAGCATTAGTTAACATACAATATTTATCTGAATCTTTCTCTACTATAGATATAATTGTTGAAAACTTTAAAGGTGGGACAGAGTACAAAGGATAAAGGCTATCTGGACTTACTTATTTTAGTCTTCAGAATCACAATTTGAGCATGATAAAAGGCAAAAGAAACAACTCAGTCTTATTTTGTTACTGTGACTAAAAACTATTTCTACTAAAACAGTGTTTCTGCGTAAATGGCGATTTATGCTTGCAGTGCTATGAATGTATTTATTAAAGGGGAAAAGACTAATTTTTCCCTTAAACAGTTAGACAGCTTTCCTTAAAGATATAATGGGTAGGGTTCTGGTAGAAATGAGTCCCATGTACTTGGAAAATGGTCCGTTAGGCATTTGAACAGTAAGATGTCAAAAGTCTTCCAGGCAGTGGGGACAATTCCTGCTCCTCTTCCATGCCTCAGTTTGCTCATAATAAAATGACAGAGGTGAAACGCTGAGGTTTTTTGAGTTTTAGAAATTTTCAGGGACCTGATTTTATGTCTAAGAGCCAATTTTACTACAAACTCTCTTCCACAGATAACAATATATGGTGAGCAAATCAAATATTTTTGTCTCCTATTGTAGCTGAATCCTTGCAGAAAACTCCACATGCTTTCAACTGAAATGTCCACTCCAGCTGTCATTAAAATGCACAGACAGTCTGAAAGATAGACATGTGTAACCTTGTCAAGAAAAAAAAAAGTCTGTAACCTTGTCAAGGAAAAGGGAAAAAAAATGGCTTTACCATGTCTTCAAACAATAAATAAAGGGCAAAAGAACAGAAAATAAAAGTCATTTTTAGGGAAAAAGTTGATCACCCTAAGGAAGGTAGGCATAGAAGGAACACTCTACAACTCATTCAAAACAATATACAAAAAACCAAATGCTAGCATTATACTGACGGGGCAAAGATTTGGAAGATTTTCTATTAAGATCTGGAACTAGCCAAGGATATCCAATGGCCCTAATATACACAAGTAACCTCATGGCTGAGAAAGAACATGTAAGTACAGTCCCCTTTAAAATAGTGGAGAAAAACCTTAAATATCTTGGAATAAACTTAATCAAAGATATGGAGTACCTCTCTGTCACTTTGACTTTCAAATGAATAAATACATATTTTAAAAAAAACATAAGCTTTAACACGGGTAGGAAACCATTGCCCAAGAACAATGTAGAATGTCAGTAGAGATTACAAAAAGCTGAGTAAATTGTAAATAAATCAGTGCAAATAGAGTAACTTTCCTAGCATGAAGGACGCAGACTGGGTCTGAATAATAACTAAATCATTGAAGAGTGAGAACATGGATAATAAAGGAGACTTGACTTGATGAGGGAAACCAAAAGAAAGGGATTTTAAAACAGATTCATATCATTCGTAGATATCCAAGATGAGAAAAGGAAAGTTACACCACGGGGGCAACCAAGAATCAACATGACAGAGTAGACACAGCTATGTTATATGAACAGAGGTATGGCCAGACCAAAAAAAACAGTAAGGAGAGAAGGAGATGTTGAAACTAGAAATAGTTATAGAGGCAAGGGAAGACCAGCATAGCGGGATCTGAGACTAGGCAATTAACAAAGTGGTTTTTTTTTTTTTTTTTTTTCAAATAAAGCCAAGTCAAAAGAGATGTTAGTAAAAGAACTCGACCTTCCAGGGAGAAAAGGCAAAGGGAGAGAAAAGTCCTACATCTGTCTAATCCCCAGGATCTTCTAGGGTCGCCTGCATGACAGGATGTTGGCCTGGAAAAAATTATGGCTTTACTGCTCTATTCCCTACTCCTTCTGAGAACAATTTTCTGTCTGAAAAGCTATTACTCCATCTCCTGTCTTTAGGAACACAAAATAAGACAGAATACAGATGTGCAAGGGATTAGATCCTTTCAGGAACATGTGGGACAGAAGTCTGGACTTTCTCGCTGCAGAAGAGGCTGATGGGCATATCCCAAGAGCTGTACATCTGCAGGTAGGCGATTAGCTAATAAAGCCAGGATGAGATTGGCCTGATACAATTCTTCCCCCTTTGAGACTGGGGACGTTCTGACAACTGACTGCTATGACACCACGGTCATTTATAATTCCCCTTTGTATGTGCTGGTAGTCACAGCTCCTAGCCTGCTGAGATGCTTGAATTGTGCTGAATCGAATGATTGTGTCACTGCAAGAAACGTTGATCCATTGATAGTAGACATTTGAGCATGAGATTATACCAGCTTTTATCCTGATGGATGATAAAATAAAAACGACTGCCTAGTGAAATAGCAATACTTTTAAAGAGGAATAATTACAACCTGTAGTGTGTTTGACTGCAGGACCAATCATTTCAGGCATGATAAAATTTTAATACGATAATGCTGACAGTTAAAAGAATGGTAGAGGACTCAAGATAATTAAGTTATAAGAATGTCATATGATCCACACTTCAGAATTCCCAAGCCCTCTGTCAGCTGTCTGCATTCACCATCTGAAGGGCAGTCATTCAGAAGCTGACAGGTTTCAGGCTGAAAAGCCTGAGAAAATTAAAACATGAGCAGAGGATTTGGTGCAGCAAAGCCCTGTTGTGTAGGCTGATCAGTACGGAGAAGGATTTGTTGATTTTGCATTCCCTAGGATTTAAACAATATCCCACTTGATACTGGAGGACATATTAACTGGCTTTGAAATATGCTTACAATAAAGTGCAACCTTCATGCTAAATATAATATCATTAGATACTAGTAGGGAAACATGTATTTACAAATATTCAACTATAGGAACTATGTAAAGGAGATTCATACACTGGGATTTTTTTGTGTATATATTGAAATATCACATGGCACCCCATAAACATGTATAACTTATATCTGCACATTTTTTGATCATTAAATAAACTTCACAACAAGAAATAAACAATATTTTCAGCTAGCAAGCTTATGCCTTGATTCATAGAACAATAAATACTACAGCTTCCAAGAGTCCACATTTTTGCTGAATTTCCACATAACTCCCTATCCCACTCAAATGCCAGTTTTAATTGTATCCCTTCAATTATATGTATTCTATTTGTTTCCATAAAGTATAGTAAGCACATCTCAGTATCAACCCACTCCTGCTAATCTCTATTACCTTTTTTAAAAAACTTTTTCACCCAACTAGAGTATGTTCACTGTGTTCCCTTAGTTTCCTCCACCCCAAAAGAATCCAGAGGTCTTGAGGCAAACCTAGACATAAGAAGTCGCCTTTGTCAGTCCTATGAACAAGCTGAGACATAGCCTAAATTCTAGGGTAAACAACACAGTTTAGTCTCCAGCTGCAACTTCTGAACTCTCCTGCATTAATGATACAGCACCGAATAAATCATGACTAAAAGCCTTGACTTCCATAAAAGTAGACTGTAACCCAGCTTTGTTTGGGTTGTACCATCAAAGAACTTAAGCACCAATTTTAATTGAATTGATTTTTTAAGCAAACATGCCTTATACAACAGGTGAAGAGAAAATACAACTTGTTTCAAGTAAAACATTCTTTTTCCTAGTGACCAACATGTAATGCATATGGCAGGCCATGCACTAGCTTATTAGGCCTTATAAGGCGGCGGTGCATAGTACCCACAACAGACACGTGAAGTGCACTCCACTATTATTTCTATTTCAGATGAACAAAATGTGGCTCAAGACGCTTAAGCAGCTTTCCCAAGGTCACAACGCTTTCTTGTAGAAGAATTAGAAAGCCTCAAAGGGAAAAAGAAGGGGATTCAACCCAAATCCTACCACACAATAGAACTGCTATGAACACTTCAATACAATCATACAAAAGTCTTTCAAATGGAGTGAGAAATATGAGTTTACTTTGGTGTAAAATAAATGATGAAACTCAGGCATGCTTTTTTTCACATTATGACTTTGCATGAACTTATCGATGGCTACACATATTAGAATTCTTCCCATCAATTGCTACTGATATAACATGCCATAGTTACACTATGATGCACTAACAATAACCTATTTGGCACATTTTGGAGACTCACAGAAATTTCAAACTCCAAAAGTTATCAAGCCTTGCGTCTAAGTTCCAGATCTGCCACAACCACATGATGTTGAAA